ATTTCCCCTCACCCCCTCTTCTGTGCTCAGGATGCCCTGCCCTCTTTGCTATGTGTCTTTTTTGTTGTTATTGCTTAATATTCAGTTTTTTTTCTTTTTTCCTCTGGGTGGGGGGTTTGGTCTGTCCAGGGGGCTGTGCTGATCTGGCCCAGGGTTGTCTGTGGGAGTACCACATACCGCTTAGCTCACCTTGTTGTCCGCGTCTTCCCTTGCCGTCTGGGTGCTTCCGGTTGGCGGCGGCGCAGGATTCATCTTGGTTTCTCCATTTAATGTGAAGTGGGGATGCTATGTGCAGGCTGGAGGTGTGGAGGAGTCAAAGTTTTTCCTCTTCTCGGTGGTTTTTCCTGTAATGTGTATCTCCAGCATCTCTCCAAGAGTTTACTTTAGGAGGCACGCTTTCTGCTTCCTCCCTCTAGCTGCCATCTTGGAATCTCCCTCACCATTCTTCAGTATGGTGCTTGAATCCTTTCATGCACAAGGCCTTGCTTCTCTCTTCAAAGCAGTGCTTCGCTCTTCAAAGCAGTGCTTCGCAAACTCCTGCCATTAGTGTTGTAGTAGACTTTCATTATTCTTTTTCTTTTGTGTGAGTATTTCCTACTGTTTCCTGTATCACCTTTAGATTTTGTGGTCTGATATTAACATCCTTGATCCATTTTGAGTTAATCTTGGTATAGGGTGATATACATGGATCTAGTTTCAGTTTTTTGCAGACTGCTAACCAGTTTTCCCAGCAGTTTTTGGTGAAGAGGCTGCTATTTCTACATCGTATATTTTTAGCGCCTTTGTCAAAGACAAGTTGGTTATAGTTGTGTGGCTTCATATCTGGGTCCTCTATTCTGTTCCACTGGTCTTCATGTCTGTTTTTGTGCCAGTACCATGCTGTTTTTATTGTTATTGCTTTGACACCATTCATAGTGGGTGTCATTATTTCACCCAATCTGGGTTCAAACTTACTATCCTCTTGCTTCTACCTCTCTATTGCTGGAATTACAGGCATGGACTACTATGCCGTATTTGTAGTCATGTACATATAATAACATGTTTATATTTTTCATGTTATTGAAGTTCCATGTGATATTCTTTTATACAGCTTCCCCATAAGAACACACAACCCTACCCAGCTTTGCCATAAAAACACACAACCCTACCCAACCTCTATTGATTGCTATATTCTACATTCAGGTCAACTTTTTTTTTTTAATCCTTCCACATGTGAGCAAGAACATTAGGTACATATATTTTTGTATTTGATCATGGGCCACAAAATGATTCCATATCATAACTATTGTGATTAGTGCTCATTATATATGGGTGTGCAGATATCTTTGTTCTCATTTCAGGGTTTGTTTTGTTTTTTGTTTGTTTGTTTGATACACCAGTACTAAAGTAGTACTAATCATATGACGGATATACTTTAACTTTTCTTAGGAACATCCATACCGTTTCAATTTCAGATATTCTTTCTTACATTTAATTCAGTCATTGTTGAGTCTTTCGACTCTATTTTTATTTTTGATTCCGTATTTCAACGTTTTCAGTTTCATTCATTCTTTTTTGAAAAATCTTTCCTGAATTCCTAATTCACATTCTGCAGTTCCTGCCTAATTTCCTTTTTTTAAGTCTATATTTTCATTTCATTTCCTTTGAATATTTACTCAATAGTGGTAGTTGGAGTTTTAATTTTTGGAGGACCCTCCATATTGCTTTCTGTAATCATTGTACTAGATTTGCTTCCCAAGAATACTGTATAAGAGTTCCTTTTTATTGAAAGCTTCATCGAACTGGTTATTCAGCAATTTTGATAATAGCCATTCGTACTGGAGTGGGTCAGTACCTCACAGTGGGTGGTTTTCATTTGCAATTCCCTGATGATTAGTAATGGTGGGCATTTTACATACTTTTGTTAGTAACTTGAGTGTCTTCTTTCGAGAATTTTCTGTTTAGATCTATTGCCCATTTTTTAATCACGTTGGGTTTTTTGCTGTTGATTTTTTGAGGTCTTTATGTAGTAGGGATTTTAGCCTCTTGTCAGAGGTATAGTTCACAACAATTTTCTCCCATTCTCCAGGTTTTCTCTTTCCTCTGTTGACTGTTTCCTTCACAGCACAGAAACTTTTTATTTTGATGAAATCCCATCTACTTTTCCCCTTTGTTTCCTGTGCTTTTGGATTCTTGTCCACAATATTCTTGCTCATTCCAATGTCTTGAAGCATTTCCTCTCTTTTTTCTCTGCTAGTTTCATGCCGTACCCAAAAAAAAACCAAAAAAGTCTTTAATTCATTTAGAGTTGAATTTTGTAACATGTGAGAAGAAGAGTCTTTCATTGTTCTTCATGAAGATATCCAATTTTCCTAGCATCTTTTATTGAAAAGATGTTCTTTGTAGCTTTGTCAAAAATAATAGATGCTTGTGTTTACTTCTAGGCCGTTCATTCTGTTCCTTTGGTCTGTATGTCTCTTTTTATGCCAATACCATGCTGTTTTGCTCACTACAGCTTTGTAGTATATTTTGTAGTCAGGTAGTACAATACCTTCTTCTTTGTTCATTTCCCCAAGATTTCGGTGGCTATTGTGGATATTTTTTGTTTCATACAAATTTTAGGATTTTTTTTCCTAGTGCTGCAAATAATGTATTTTCATTTCCTAGTGACTGCATTGTAACTATAGATCACGTGTGTGGTAAGGACATTTAGTATTGTTGGTTCTTCTATTTCATGAACATAGGATGTTGGTTTTTTTTTTAATCTTCAGTATGTTTAATCAGTGCTTTATAGTTTTCATTGTAGAGATCTTTCACCTCTCTCATTAAATTTATTCTGGTTATTTTATTGGTTTGTTTTCTATTGTAAATGAGTGAGAATAAGAAACTGATTTTTGTTTCACATAATTTGCTGTTTGCATATATAGCAATGCTACTGATTGTCATATGTTGAATTTATATTCCACTGAATTCATTTGTTTGTTTTTCTGGCAGATTCTTTTGAGGTTTTCTATATATAAGATCATGTCATCTGCAAACAATGATGATTTGTCAACTTATTTTCCAATTTGGGTGTTCTTCTCTTGTCTGGCTGTTTAAGCTAAAATTTTGAGTATTATGTTGAATAAAAGTGGTTAGAGTGTGCATTATTGTCTTGTTTGGTCCTAGGGTTTTGTTTTAAATTTGCTTTGTCCTCATTCATTATTGGTTTAATTACTGTAATTTTGTTCTCATTTTCTAATTTGGATATTCTTTCATTTACTCTTAGTTTTATATTTACTAGAGCCACTTCCAAACCTTTGTTTTTAATATGGCTGGTGGTGTAGCTCAGTCATTGAACAACTGCTTAGCATATCTAGGGCCATGGCTTCAATGTCACCTGCCATTCCCAACTCCAGACAAAAAGTAGATTGTAACCTATATTTTGCTAGTTCTATCCATTAATTTATAGGAAATATGGAAAACAGACGACTGTCTTGTTTTACTGAACTTCCATGGCATCATTTAAATCTAGAATGTAAAACCTTGTATAGTCCAGATGACCCAGTTTCTTCACTAATAAATGGCATATAATGAGAACAAGGAGATATAAAAACATGGCATAAAATACTGAATATAAAAAATATATGCTTAGATTTATGTTTGGTGAGCCTGATATCCTTTAGAATGTTAAAAAGTGACAATTAATGAGCATGTGATTCTTTGGAATTTACTCAAGACCACAGTTAAACAGAATAGGAGATACGGAAGAACACTTCTAATATGTTAAGGGTAATTTCAGGAGCTTCATCAGTCCTTTAACAAAAGGGTTTCAGAGCTGGGCCTGGCAGTGCATGCCTTTATTTCCAGCACTCAGGAGAGAGGCAGGAGGATCAAGTTTGAGGCCATCGTGGTTACATTATGAAGCACTGTCTCAAAAACCTAAAAGTGGAGGAGTAGCTCAAATGGCAGAGTGTTTGCCTAGCAAGTGCATTGCTTGGGTTCAGTCCCCAGGAAGAGAGAGAGTGGGATAGGCAGAAAGAGGGAGATAGAAAGAAAAACTTTTAAGAAGAGACTTATTGGAGAGAAACTATTATCAAAGGAACTGAAATTATACAAAATCACTTTTTAAAAATGAGAGTCTTCTAGTTCAGAAAGCTTCATTAGTATGGATGAGGTAAGAAATACATTTTACATCTAAAAATACCATAGTGAATGTGAAAACCATCTAAGATCAAGTTAAGGCATTAAAAGCCACTAGAAAGAACTGTTATTTCAAATGTTGAAAGAATTTGTTGTTAAGCCACCAGGATAAACTTAATGAGAGAAGAAACCTCAGTGTAGGACTGAATTCAGCACTTTTGAGAAAATTAAAAATGGGTATCTTTTCTGTTTGTGTTTTAAACTACAATAAAACCTCTAAATCTTATTTTCAGAAGTATTCCTTGGGGAGAGTTGTTTCTTTTGAGTTGTTTTGTTGTTATTGTTTTGTTTTTAGACAGGTTCTCTCTATCTATACCAAGCTAGCTTCAAACTCACAATCCTCCTCCTTCAGCTTCCAGAATACTGGGATTACAAGTGCATTCCACAACACCTGAACTGAACTTCTTTTAGAGAATACCATGATGTATTGTATTCTGAGCACAGTGTCATTCTGTTATTTTTATCTACTTCCTAGCAGCTCTTCTTTGACCTAACTTGTAGTTAAAATGTGAATATTAATTAGAAACCTGTAGTTAAAATGTGAATACTAATTAGAAGATGTCTTTCTTTTAAAGCTAATGTGCCTTTGAAGTTTTACTATTATTACTGCCTAAAGTTCTGTTAATAGCAAAATATTAAGGTGTAAATGCATAGCAGTGCAGGTCGTTACATTCACTTTTTTTGTTGGGGAGGATTATTGGAGATTAAATCCAGGGCCTTGCATGTGCTGGGCAACTGACCTACTTTTTCCTTTTTTATTTTTATTTTGGGATAGGAGCTCCCTGGGTTGTCCAGGCTGGCCTCACTCAAACTTGCAATCTTCGTGCCTCAGCCTCCTGAGTAGCTGGAACTACAGGTGTGTACCAGTGCACACACCTATGTCCACCTTTTTTGTATGAGATTCAATGAGGGTAGTGCCTTTCTCTGGTTTTTTCACTATTTTTACTAATGAATAATAGAACAAAGTAAGATAAAAACAATTTCTGTTTTGTAAACCTATTATTCTTTTTTTTTCTAGTACTGGGGATTAAATCCCGGGTTGGCCTGCATTGTTATCACTGAGCTATATCCCCAGCCATAAGCTTATTACATTTTCAGTGCATTTAAAATAACTCCAATCAGTCTGAAATGATAAAAGAAGGAATTGAATTTAATTAGTAAAGTGGAGCATTTCAGCTCTTCAGATGTACCCATTACTACCTCTCAGAAACCTTTAATCATCCTCTTCTCTCCTCCATCATTTTACATGCTTCCATGTTCCCTATAATGCCCTTTCACTAATATTCATTGCTCTCTAAGTGAAACTTTATTTTGATCATCTTACTTTAAGTTTCCTTTCTAGTCTGAAGTTCTTATTTGCAGACAACAAAGAATGCAGTATGATTTTGAGCATCTCCTTCAGCTGTTCATTTCTCCTTAGGCAATTTCATTAAAAAAATAAAATTCTGTCTGCACTGGGACTATTTTGGAAAATGTAATTTTTTTTCAGCCAAATTTCACCAACAACTGGTTGAGATGTGAATTCATATTCTGCAGTTTAAGTAGTGGACCTTTTTTGGAATTCATAATTATTTCTCATTCTGGAGCTCTCGTGAGAGTCCTGTACATGAGCAGTAATTATGTCAGTACCTGCATATTAGCCAAGAGTTTTTTTTTTTTTTTTCAAAATTTGTATTACAATCATTAGAATTAGTCTATATCTTTATTGGGAAAGCCTCCATTAGGGTGATAAAAGAACATTTAATTAAAATCCACTAGGGTTAAGTTTCATTTTGTTGCAAGCAGAAAAATAAATTCCCTTTTTCTAAGAAAGTAATCCAGAATCCGATAATAAATTAAAGGGTCAGGTTCCTTCAGAAAGGCATTGAGACGATTGGTAAAGAACTTTCATAGAAACATCATATTTATGATAGAGTTACAACAAAGGATTACCAAAATTATTATTTTCTAGGGTTTTTTTTCTTTAAATTTCAAATTAATGTATATCCTGCCTTAATTTGTAAGCTGTTCATTTCAAGGCCTCAGTGCTAAAATGCTGTGAAAATCAGTCTATCTTATGATCGTCTTTAAAGCCTTTCTTTATGTCGTACTAATTTTTTTGCCCCTACATTTATCTTCACTTTGGAAGCTTCCAAATACCTTAGTTAGATACTTCCTTTCTAAATGAAATGAAGCTATTAGAAATAGAGATTAAGTATTAAAAAATAAATGTAATATGAAAACCAGAAATTGTAAGGACTTACGTATAAGGAAAACATTTTCTATAAAATGTATGTTGTAGTCAACACAGAACACTTAGCAACATGTTACTCTTATATACTCCATTTATTTAAATGTAATGTTAGTTCTCTCAGGGTAAGAAGGCATTGTCCCGTAGTAGAAAGAGTATGACAGAAATCATGGAAGAGAGTAAGATTTCACTGGAACCTGAAAGAATCAGTGTAGGTAATCAGAGTGGAATTGTGGGTATCATAGGCATGGGGATAAGCACAAAACTGTACTGCTGATGTATTTGACATTTCAAGTAAAGGAGAATTAATTTATGAGCCAGATGAGCCAATGATTAGAATAAGTATCCTTAATGATACTGAAACTAATAATAGTAGTTACCTTTTGCCATATTACAAATTACCCCTAAACTTGGCAGTGAAAAGAATTACTATGTCATAATTTCTATGTACTAGGAATTTGGAATTGGTCTAGATAATTTGTTTTGGCTTAAATGTCTCAGAAGATTATAAACCGGAGGCTTTAGTTAGCAATATTATGCTATAGATTTCAAAAATGTACAAAAAAGGATTTTGAATTTTTTACCCTAAAGAAATCATAAACGTTTAAGCAGATAGAGATACCCAAACTAATTTAGTATTATACAATGCATACATGTATTGAAACATCATGTTTTACCTCATTAATATGGACAGCTTTTATGTTAAAGATACAGTCAAGATATTTCTTGAAACTGCAATCATCTGAAGTCCTGAATAGGTTAGAGGATCTGCTTCCAAGACAACTTACTGATACTGCACTGGCAGAAAGCCCCAATTCCCATGGAACTTTCAATAGGGCACCTTTAATGCCATGGAAGGTGGATTTCCCCACAGAAAGTGGTCCAAGAAATACAAGTCACACTGTCCTTTTGATCTAGGCTCAGCAGTCAAAACTTTTTTTGACCACTTTGTTATACTCATTAGAGACAGGTCATTTATTGTGCTCATACTGAAGAAAAGGGAAATTCATTTTTACCAGAGGGAATATCAGAAAAGAAATAGTGGTCATATTTTAAAACCACCAGAAAATAATTTTCATTTTACTCTATAGCCCATGATTATATAACATGGTCACATGCAGGGATTGATTAATCTAGGAAAGGATATTAACTTTTTTTAGTTAAGATGGGAAGGGTCAAAGTAGTATCTGAAAGTAGACAAGGACTGAGATTCCTAGTAAATGTTCTCTATCAAAATATTGGCAGTTCATCCAGAAGCTGTGTTCTAAGAACATTAACTATAGGAGTCTAGTAGATGAGACAGAAATGGCAGTGGAAGCTAGGCCTGTAGCTCAGTGGTAGAATGCTTTTTCTAGCATACACAAGGTTGTGGGTTCATTTCTTGCATGAAGCCCTGTAAAAGGCTTTCAAATTTAGGCAAAGATACAGCAGTAGCTTTAAAAAATGTTTTAAGCAACATTTCCTTGCTAAGGTAAAACTAAGCCTTTATTTTCTCTGGCCTGTGGGCAGTAGCTATCCATAATATCCTTATCAGTGATAATTCTGAGAATTAACTAGTTCTAAGTGTGACTGAAGAATGATTGCATTGTATTGTGTATGCAGTTATAGTAGTGGACACTATAATTTAAGTCAGTATACCATACCTATTGTTTTTGCTCTCAGCATACTTTCACAAGATTTTGTAATTTTTTTAAAGCCTGAGTTTTTGATAGGATTAACTTTTACAAGGATATACAGCTAGGGACTCTAATGGGTTCTTGATGGAGAGTACTTCTTGATAGGACTAAGAGCTACAGTGATATGGTTTTGGAATTTTAAAGTTGTGACTTATAATTGCATTTTGTTTCATTTTTAAGGATGGGTTTATTATCATTTGTTTTTATTTGGGTTGCTCTATAGAAAATAAAAGTACACAACCCTGCAAGTCATAGAGATATAAGTCTATATTAAAATAATGGGATAAACCCACAGAGAAGCAAAGGTGGAAGGCACTGGTTAGACAGAAATTATTAGCTATCTAATAAATTTGAAGATATACATTCCTCCTCAACCAGTAATTTCACTTCTAGGTATAAAAACATTTTCTAACAGATGTTGTTAACCTTGTCTTATATTCGATACGCAGTAGTTTCATATAAGATTATTTACTTGCCTTACAGCATTGTGTTAATCAGATTTGTGTTACTGTGACAAATGCCTGGAGGTTTAATTTTGGTTCACAGTTTCAGAGGTTTCAGTCCATCATCACTTGACCCTGTTGCCTTTGGACCTGTGGTAAAGAATATATCATGATGGGGACCATGGGGCAGAGGAAACTGCTTACTTCATTGTAGCCACTAAGGAAAAAGAGATGAAGAGACCAGGGTCCCTATATCTCTTTCAAGGGCATGCCCCAGCTACCTAACTTCTTTGCAGAAGAACCATAGGCTGACAACCAAATCTTTAGCATATTGGCCTTTGTGGGAGTCGGGGGAGAAGAATGGACATTTGAAATCCAAACCATAAACATGTAGAGTATGTTAGGATTTTCTCTGCATACTTAAGTTTATTCTTTGCCACTCATTGAATTTATGTCATAATATATCTAATGTGTAGTATGCAGTAGTTTTGAAACTCTTACCCACAGACACAAGGAGACATATCTGGATGTTCATAGCATCATTATTAATAAAAGCAAAAACTTGGAAATAGCATAAATGCCCATTAGAAAAAGAATGTGTAAATGATTTGTAGTATGTACATAGAAAAGATCACTGAGTATAAGTTAAACTTAATATATTGAAGTTATAAGTCAGTATGCATAAATTACAAAAACATGTTTGTGGGAATAAAAGCAAGTTGGAGTAGGACACTCTCAGGAAATTTATATAAAATTTCAAGGTATTTAAAGAAATACACATGAAGTTAAAGCATAAAGATTAAGATGGAAATGATACTTGTGAATATAGCTTACTTATCAGGAAGTATATAGGAAATTTTACTTGTAATATTTTATTTCTTAGCTGAGCATGGGAGACATAGCTATTCGTTACATTGTTTATTCCTTTTTTATGTCTGAAAATTTGCATATTTAGAAAAATCTTGAGCACAATAAAACAAAATAACAAAAGTGATATCCTTGAGCAATTCATGTTCAGTATTAAAAAGGCCCAATAGCATCATTTATCTTACACTTGTAGTAAAGCTTTTTTTTTGTTTGTTTTTTGGTGATGGTGGTATTGGGGTTTGAACTCAGAGCCTAATGCTTGCTAGGCAGGCACTCTACCACTGGAGCCATTCCACAGCCCATAAAGCTACTTTTTATACTGGGTTTATAAAACTTAAATCAGAGATTATAATAGCCAACTTTTATAGGAGGTTGGTAATTACCAGGCACAGTTCTACATATTTAAGTAGTTTGATTCTCACAGTAAACCGATGTTTCCAGGTACTATTATTATCACTGTTTTACAGACATAGATATCTAATAAAGAGTAAAGTAACTTGCCTAAGGTCACACATCTAGTAAATAGCAGAACTAGAATTTGAACTCAGGATGGATGACTTTCTCCAGAGCCTGTGCTATTATCCACTAAGCTATAAACCTTCCTGTGAGAAATAAATATTATTAAAAACTGTAGGGAAACTACAGATGGTAGTATTGCTTGGGAAGAGTTTCCCTTATTTTTATTCTTAAGTAATGGCAGGAACCTAAAATGAACAGAGATTTATTAGAGCAATGAATGAAATATTGGAATACTAATACTTATTTTATTAGACGAGAAGACCAAGAAAAGTGCCTTAATATTAAAATACCAGCTAAAATGACAGATTTGCTTTGTACAAATTTGAGAATTAAAAATTTTAAGTTATGTATGGTAAATCAGAAATCTTTCAGATTGATTTGCCAAAAAGACATTAGGATTCACCATAAATTTCTTAAGCTAGGGCCAATAAGCTAGGTAAAAGTATTATCAATTCTATTTGTTTAAGGATTCATAGATTAATTTAGAGTAATAAATCCATCCCAAGAGGGTGACATTGTATGCTTATATCAAAGTGGAGACATCTGGGCAGTGATCCAGAATCCTGACATTTGGGGTGGTACTGCTTGTGTCTCACAGTATAGTCACTAGAATTGTTCCCATCAGACTGAACTGGATTGTTATTCTCTGTTCCTGTACATGTATAATTTAATTCTCAATAATTAACTTCAAAGTTTTAGGTTTTGTAAACTATTGTACCTTTGCAAATACAGGCTTGTGCATAATTTTGCCTCAGCAATATTTAACTAATTGGTGTTTGGTCATAAAAATTATTTTCTTTTAATTCTCATTAGATACTTGCTAGCCTTCTTTAGAGAAACAGTTTTTGAGCTCTAAATTATTTAGTATTTGGATGTTGGTACACTGGCTTTCGCACAAGATTTAACATGTTTATTAGCTCCATAATTATTGTGAAGCTTTCGGAAAGCTCCGAATGTCATTGTCTGCTCCCTTATTTTGGCATTTATGCCAAAACCTTATTGACTTATGCCAAAATAAGGTGTTTTCAGTATGACATTGAGTTTTTATTTTACAGAAACCATATAAAAACCAGAAGATATTCAAGTCAGAGGACTTGGAGAGTACAGATACAAATACAGCATTAGAAATCATATTTGTAGGATGGGTACCATGGCACCCACCTGTAATTGCCAGCCCTCAGGATGTTGAAGCAAGCAGGAGTTCACAATTTCAAACCTAGCCTGGGATACATGAGGACATCTTGCCTCAAACAAAGTAAAGCAAAATAAAAGAAATAATATTTAGGATTTCCTTTTGTTGAAAATGAGTATGAATACATTCCAGACTTGGGATATAAATCAGAGCTTTGTCTTTCCCTCTCTTCTTCTAGTGATGCAATTGCTGAGATTAGAGCCATTTGTATTGAAGAGATTGGAGTATGGATGAAAATGTATAGTGATGCCTTCCTAAATGACAGTTATCTAAAATATGTTGGCTGGACTCTTCATGACAGAGTAAGTTACTGTCTTCTAAGCTTTGATGATATCTATGCTTCTCTAAATACTAGCATGCTAAGAATCAAAGTTATAATAGTTGATTTTTTTTAGAGAGTTGTGATAATATGAAATTTAAGATGATACAACCAAATAACTTTACTTGGTAATCACAGTGCAACTTAAGATATTGGGCCATGCATGGCCCTTAGATAGAATGCTATCTTGAATCAAGACTGAAGGCCTGGTATATCTGTGGTTTGGTTTGGTTTGATTTTGTTTGGTGTGAGACTGTCTTCTGCGCAGTCCAGAGTAGCATCAAACTCTTGATCCTTCTGCCTTCACCTTCTGAGTCCTCGGATTATAGGCGTGTGCCTCTGCACCTAGCTTAAATGGGCTTCCTTGTTTTGTGTAAGGTTATGTCACAGTATCTAAGTAGAGCATTTTATCAGAGTTAAACAGATTTGTTGGCATCCCAAATATTTGACCTAAAACTCTACCTGTGATCTCTAACTTTAAAAGAAATCCACATTGAGTCCTAAGTATGTAATCCTTCAAAATAACCAAGATTAGGAATGGTGAATTACTGGAATTTTTATAAAAAATGACCAACATTCCATAACTTGAACTGTCAGATACTTATAAATAAGGAAATCTTTTTTGGGGCAGTACTGTTATTTGAACTCAGAACCTCACACTTGTTAGGCAGGCTCTTTAGTACTTGAGCAACACCCCAAGCCCATAAGTAGAGAAATTTTATAACAATTTATTTTAAATTGCTATATTGTCTTTGAAATGTTAAAACTGCCATAGCAGTTAGAAGACATTTTTCTTTAAAAAATATATAATTTTACCCTTAGATGTTTATAAAGACAAATTTGGTAGTTAATTACTTCAAAAATTTATTTGGTGATGAAAGGGGCTTCTCCCCTACCCCAAATCACTTCTCTTAAAGAAAGACTTAATTAGTATGTAGTAAATTTTTTCCTGAGTATGTATCTCTCCTAATAATTTATATCCTTTTCTTTACAGTAATAAATCCAAAGCTAGATTTCATGGGGGTTGTTTATTTAATTCTCTTGTAAATTGGGACATTTGCAACTAAGCCTATCTCAGATTGATCTAATGAGATTTTATTACACTATGAAGAAATGTAGAACTATGCAGTCCACCTTAATATATGTATATTTACACTTTTAAATCCAACAAGGCAGTCAGGATTTTTTGTCTGTTTGTGATGCTGGTGCTCAAACCCAAGGCCTTACATATGCTAGACAAGACCTACTGCTGTCGAGCTACATCCCTAAACTGTTTTTGTAGATATCTATTGTCTAGATAAAGGAAGATATTTCCATTATATACTGATAAAATCATGAGTAGTGTGTTTAACTGAATGATTTCTTAAATCTCTCCTGTTGTCTCTAATTACTTAGAATATTTTAAAGATCCCTCTGTACTTTTCTTTTGTCATTTCCACTCTAATCTCCTTGTATCTTTTTTTCTCAGAGAACTACAATATTTTTCCTTCTCTTACTTTAGTTGTCTGGTTGAAACTGCACCCTGTAGAGACTCTGACCTCTGTCTTCATATTCATCCTACACATCTTTCAAATGAGCTGATAAAACTTCTCTCTTAATTTTAGAATTTTAGAGGTTATTACCTAGTCTGCTCTCCTAAGTAAAACAAGCTTTTTAAAAATACAAGTTTTATACTTTACAGTTTGGTCAGTAGAAAGATAATATCTAACAAAGTAGTTCTCTTAAGTTCTCTATCCACTTGTTTTAGTTCTGCCCTTGAGGATCACATAGACTATGCCTAATGTAAATATAGCAATAGTAGTCAATGTTTTAGACTACTTAGTCTCTTTGAATTTTTGCTCATGACCCTAATTGCCTTTCTCTGTGCAGTACAGTTTGTTTACACTGCTCTGTACTGCTTTCACTTTTACCTTGTACAATGAACTAAGAATACCTAAGACTGGGTAATTTACAAAGAAACAGGTTATTTTGGCTTATACTTTGAGAAGTTCAAGAGATGGTCTCCGCATCTGCTCAGCTTCTGATAAAGTCTTCATGGTGGTTGAACAGTGGCTGTGTGCAGGAGGAGAATAGGGGTCAAACTTTCATAATACTATCCCAATTCTGCAAGGAAAGCATTCATCTGTTCATGGGAGCTGACCCCTCATGGCCCAAATGTCTGATTAAGGGCCCAGCATCACATTGGGAACCAATACTTGAGTTTTTAGCAGGGACAAATTACATCCAAACCATAGTACATTCTATGCAGAATTCTTTGTATGCTTTCTTTCATACATTTGATTATCCATATTAAAATCCTTATGGTTCTTAAACAGGATCTATATTCTATTTGCCTATTCATTTTCCTACTTTGTGTTGACTCAGACTATATTCTATGTCACCAAAAAATCTTTTTAGCTTTACCATTCCATCCCACTCAGAACTACTCCTTTTCCCTAATCCCATTACTTCTTCTACAAACTAACACATCCAGTCCTTGACAGTCCACCTGAATTTGTTTGAACTCTTATGCATTGTTCCCATGTAAATATTATCCTGGGAACATGAGTTAATGTCTTTTAAAGATACAATTCATGGAGGTGGGCATGGTGAAATCTCAACTGAGGAAGAAAGGTCACATGTTCCAGGCCATCCTGGGCTACATAGTGAGAACCCTGTCTTAAAAAAAAAATAAGTACAACTGACTGTGAAATCATGTTTACCATTATGTTACACAGTACTTTTTAATATCACTTAACATTTTTTCAAAAGAGTTTTATACAAATATTAATAAAGAATTAATATTCTCTGACATATTTTTTTATTTTCTGGTTTTCTTTTTTCTTATTTTCATGTATTTATATAGTCAGAAATATTTATTGAGCAGCTAATATACATTTAGACACTTAAACAGCATTTAAATTTGAGTAAGATTTTTTTAGTAAAGGGAAAATAAGAAAGCATTTAGGGTACTACAATAGAAATAGCTTCAGAGAATAGTAGAGAGCAGTTATCAAAAAAGAAATTAGAACTTTCTCCAAAAAGTTACTTTTACAGTTTTTTAATATGCTTTTAATTGTTAAGAAATTCCTATGATATAGAATGAATGCATTATAGGTGAAGAACCAAGATGGGGGGGCAAGGGAGGTGGCCCAAATAATGTATACACACATGTGAGTAAATGTAAAAATGATAATCAATACATTAAAAATAAAAAAAAAAGACTTGGGAGGAGAGGTTGGGAGTTACCACCCGACAATGTGAAGATAAAACTCAGTTCATATTCTTTTCTCTGCTTATAATTTTTACTGTGTGAACTTAAGGTAAGTTTGTCTTTCTTTGTTTAGTTTCAAGTTCATATTTGGAGATGTCAGTTGTGCTTTCTTAGATCTGAGGTTGTAATATTACATTTGAATAGCTATCCTCAGCCTTTTCTCATCCATTCTTGATCTTTTTATCATTATGTATTACATAGCACTTTTATTGGCTTTGCACCTTCTTGCCTCCTGGAATACTTATTCTGTAAGCTACTTCCATACATCTCCACTCCACTTACTGTCCTTCATTGTTTCTGTCCTTTACAAGTTTGTGGTGGTTGTTTTGGGTTTTGGTTTTTTGGGGTGGTACTGGAGTCCTTTACAATTAATGTGCCCTGTTCTGGACCATTTTGTATTGCTATGATGGAATACTTGAAGGCTGAAGTCCAAATTCAGGCTGCTGCATCTGGCCAACTCCTGGGGAGGCCCTTCTGGGTAGGTCAAACATGGTGAATGGTATCACATAATAGAAATGAATGTGAAAGAGTTCACATAGTAAGAGAGGAAGCAAGAGACTGGGGAAGGGCCAGGCTCATTCTTTTATTGCCATCTCCTTGCTCAAGAACTAATCCACTCCTGTGAGACCAGAGTTAATTTAGTGGGATGGTATACTCTTATCTTCCCACTACTTGGAAAGCTGAGGCAGGAAGCTTGGGAGTTTGAGGCTAGCCTAGGTTACTTAGTGAGATCCTGTCTCGAAATTTTAAAAATAACCACAATGAAACAAACAAAACCCCACAACATTAATCTCTTCAAAAAATTAGTCATGACCTGGTCACCTCCCAATAGGCCTTACCTCTTAAAGACCCACCATTTGTCAATATCATTACATTAGGGACCAGACTTATAGCATATGAAGTTTTGAGAGAGAAACCATATTAAACCATGGCATGCGCTCCCCCACCACACACACACCTCTTGTATTTATAATGGTTAGGTAATGCTACCTTATCTCTGGTGTTTAGTATCTTTCCATCTCCATTGCTAGAAGCCAGATTTCCCATTTCATCCATGCTAAAATATGATCTTTGTCCAGTGGGAAGTAGGGAAGGTCATAAGTTGGGTATTCACATTGTCTTAAGATACCAGCCTCAGTTGAAGCTCACACATATTCTTTCAGGGAAAGGTAGGATGGCAGGAGTCATGCATCGTCTATCAAGGGGGCATGAGCCATATTTTGTAGCCCACAAATTAAGGGGAAACTAAAAGTTCAAGGTTCTCACCAGCAACTACTCAGATACCCTTCAAACTCACTTGGTTTCCTATCATATCCCTGATTTTGGCTTAGGAGACTTGCTTTGGATGCAGAGTATTCTTGAATTCTGCAACTCTTAACATCAAAAGATGGTTTGAGAGCTGGAGGTGTAGCTTAAGCAGTAGAGAACCTGCCTAGAAAGCAAGAAGTCCTGAGTTCAAAAACTAGTACTGTCAAAAAAGAAAAGAAAAAGAAAACAACAACAAATGTTGACAAGGATTGGAGGGGGAGAGTATAAATTAGTGTAGCCAGTATGGAAATCAGTATAGAGGTTCCTAAAAAAGCTAAAAATTGAAGCCACCATATGATCCTGCTGTACCATTCCTGGACATATACCCAGTGGAAATTAAGTAAGCATAAAGCAGAAATTCTGTTACACCCACATTTATTGCAGCACTTATTCACAATAGCCAAACCATGGAAACAGCCTAGGTATCCATCAACTGATGGATAAAGAAAATGTGGTATGTATACACAGTGGAGTGTTATTCAGCCATAAAGAAGAATGAAATTGTGTCATACAGGAAAATAGATGAAACTGGAAATCACCACTTTAAGCCAAATAAGACAGATGAGAAAGACAAATACTACATGTTCTTTGTTCTATGCTGAATCTAGAACTTTTTAAAAAAAAATGACAGGTTTAAAATGGGGGTTGTTTAGGAATGGGAACTAGTGAGAGTGGGCAGAGGGAAGATTAGAGGGGCTCAAAGTACTGAAAATAGAATAACATATCCTATTTAAATTGCTTTAAAATGGTGAGAAGAGGGCAGGCAAGAGTAAAGAAGGTGTGAATTTGATTAAAGTACTTTATATACACATTATATTACATGGAAAGACCACAATGAAACCCCTTTGTACAATGAATATACACAATAAAAAAGAGAACAATAGAAAAAAAATCTCCAAGCTGGGTATGGTGGTGTAAGCCTATAATCCCAGCGCTAGGGAGGGTAAAATAGGATGATGGTGAATTTAAGACCAGCCTTGATTACATAATGAGTTTAAGTGCAGTCTGTGTTATATAGTGAGACTGTAGATAAAGTGAAAGAAAGAAATCTCTGTGCCAGGTGGCCCTTGTCATATTTGGTCAGCATGTTATAGACGTGAGCCTTTATTAGCCAGCATAGGCAGAAGCTAAAGAATTAGCCAAATGAAAAGGGGATTTTGGGACATCAACACCATCTGGCACAGGTACTTCAGATTCCTCTTGAGGGTTAACTCTTACTGGGAACCAGCATCTCGTTTAGTGATATCTAGAAGTGGCTTGAAAGAGAGCTTGAAAGAGAGTTTGCAAGACAGTGATCATACATATCTCTTCACAATGAATTTGATGTTTCATTAGTAACTCGATACTGGCCATGGGAGATATTTACATTGCAAAAAATCTACAAATTTAACAAGTCAGACTCTTTTCCCCAGAACTGGTTGGTAAAACTTTACCAGCATACCCTGCCTTTAATCCTTAGAGCAATTTTTTAAATGCAAGTATTGAATATCAGAATGATTGATATATTTGCCATCTCACATGTTACTAATAAACTATAGAAGTGGAAATAAAACCTGGTTTTATCTGACTCCAGAATTTGGACTTGTACTATAACATTACAGTACTTCTTCTGGAGCATAAAAACTTGAATCACTCCTGAATCCTTTGACATCTAGATGGTGTGAATGCCCTTGGATTACCAGTGTTTTCCACTCCACATTATTGACTTTATTAAAGATATTCAGTAGTAAATAGCATCCCCAGGACTCTTCACACTGTATTTTTTGCCTCTGTTTTTCTAAGTGTCTCTCTGGGAATGTAACAGTCATCCAGTAAATATTTGTTATATAAATAAGTGATGACCCTTTAATATGAAATTGGTTTTCCACAGAATTATTCCATAATTACATACAGGACAAATGAACATATCCTTCTCTAACTATAATCATAGACAAAAAAATCAACAGTCCATGATCAGTTAGAGCTGATAAATGTTTAGAAAAGGTATAACTCACAAGTAACTAAATGATTTTCAGTGCACAGTTTATTAATCATAAGTTCAACACAGACTGTGCAATTCCTTGGTCTCATCCTGTATTGAATTACAATATGAAATTAGTTGAGTGGTTAAGCTGAAATTTATTTTATTCTTCATACAGACCTTAGTCTTTTTTAATACTTGTATCATGGAAATGACTGCTGCTTTTGTGTTTTTGTTTGTATTTCTGAAGCAAGGGGAAGTCAGGCTGAAGTGTTTGAAAGCTCTACAGAGCCTATATACCAATAGAGAATTATTTCCCAAGTTGGAGCTATTTACTAATCGATTCAAGGTCAGTATCAAGAATGGTGCGCTTATTTTATTTTTCACTTTATAAATACAAGTTATAGATAGTGTGGCCAATGACATTACCATAATAAGTATTTTGTTTATCTTCTTTAAGTAATTGCATAGGAAATAGATGAATGACTGTTTTACAGTGGATATACCCACCATGAGTTCTTACTTACTACTTTTGAAAGAAGACTCTCAATTAAAATAAGAATTTTACTCATGTATATATTTATAAGTTATTACTTGTGTAACAGAAGGTTACTTATCAGACTGTTTAGGGAATGCCAGTTGATAAGAAAGATTTTAAATTACAAATATTTATATTAGCACCCCATTTGTATAAGGACTATAATAATACACTTTTAAGAGTAAAGCTTTCAGACTGGAGGTGTGGCTCATGTGGTAGAGTGCCTGCTTTGCAAGCACGAAGTCCTGAGTTCAAACCCCAGTTCCACCAAAAAATAAATAAATAAAGTTAAAAAGTAAAGCTTTCCACTTACTGTGTAATTAGCGTTTGGGTATATGCCCCAAAACACAGTACCTTAAGTCTGTCTTGGCTTATTTGCATTCATGATTGGTTTGTTTATAACTTTCTTCAGGATCGTATTGTGTCAATGACGCTTGATAAAGAATATGATGTTGCTGTGGAAGCTATTCGATTGGTTACACTGATACTTCAGTAAGTATATCTGCTAATAATTTAATCTTTTGATATTTAATGCCTTTTTTCCAGCATTACTAATATATTTCACACGTGTAACACTTAAATATATTTTATCACTTTAGGTTCTACTTTTACATTTTACCATTCTGCTTATAATCAGTTTTTTTCTCATTATTTATTTGTTGTTCATTTTGACTGTTATCTGTTTCTTCTCGGTGAAAGTTCTGTCATGCAGTGTGGAGAAATAGAAATGAAGTAATGTCCTTCCTATTTAAAACAATAGTTAGAGAGAAAGAATGCTTCAGAAAGGTTAGATTTTTTTTTCCAGATACATTTTTTTGGGAATATAGAGAAGTAACAAATGAAATTGGCAGGTAATTTTTTTTTTTTTTGGTGGTACCAGAGTTTGAATTCTGCTTGACACCTGTGAGGCAGGTGCTCTATGATTTGAGCCAAGCGTCTAGCATGAACTGAATATCTATATGGGGACCAGCTGTTGCTTGAGCTCCTTTTACTGTTTTGACCTAAAACCATGCTTTTTTTTTTCTTCTTAAATCATCGTAGCTTTATAATATATATTATATGATAGGACTATGACCTCTTCTCTTACTGGGTGAGATTGTCTCCTCTTTGCATTTTAAAATTGACTTAGCTAATTTCAAGTAGCTAAAATTTGCGTTTTGAGTTTTTGTTTGTTTACTTGCTTGCTCTTTTTCCTTCTGTACTGGGGTTTGAACTTAGGGTCTTAGAGTTGCCACTCAGTGCCCTGCCACTTGAGCCACACCCCTAGGACTTTTTGCTTTTATTATTTTTCAAATAGGGTCTTGAATTTAGAACTGTGTTGATCACAATCTTCCTATTTACAATTCCTTTTTAGCTAGGATTATGGGTGCACCACTGCACCCAACTTTTTATCGTTCAAGATTCAGATCTCGAGAACTTTTTGTTTGACCTCAAACCAAGATCCTCCTTGTCTCTACCTCCATAATAGCTAGGATTACAGGTGTGGTCCACTTGCCCAGTTTTTTTGTTTTGTTTTGTTTGTTTTTTGCATCAGTTATCTTACTGTGTAGCCCAGGCTGACCTGGAACTAGTTATATAGCCCAAGTTGACTTCAAACTTGAGATTTTCTGCCTCAACCTTTTGAGCATTGAGATTACATGCATGTATCACCACACCTGGCTTGGTTAGATTTTAAATATAAGAAAATGTATTGAATTTTATAACTTTAGAAGATAATGGAACTTTTTATTATATTATTTATGCATAAAATGATGAACTTCTTTAAATACCATCTGATCTATTATACATAGAGTGTAGATTTTTAAATCAAGATGTGTAGTGTTTTGTATTTTTTTTTTTTTGCAGTACTGGGGTTTTGAACTTAGAGCCTACCTACACCTTGAGCCACTCTGCCAGTGCTTTTTTGTGATGGGCTTATTTGAGATAGGGTCTCACAAACTATTTGCTGGGGCTATCTTTAAACCGCCATCCTCCTGATCACTGCCTCCTGAGTAGATAGGATTACAGGTGTAATTCACCGGCACCGGGCTGTGTGCATTTTTGATTAGGCTATTTCTTTAATACTTTGTAGTTTCATTATCATATGATTAATATTGGGTATTTTCCTCTTGACTATTGCTGAGGTTAATTTTATGTTGGTTTGATTTGTACATCCTACTAGAACTCTTACACATTCTGATGGCTTTTTGATTCTGTTGCTTTTACCTTGTAGATTATTATATCATCTGCAAACATTTTCAATTTTACTCTTTCTTTCCTAACCATATCATTTTTATTTTACTCTCTTGTCTAATTGTGTAGTTAAGACCTTCAGAGCTATTAACTGTGTCACTATTTGCAAGTAATATTAGTTGTGTTGTTGGAAGACACATAAAGTGTTTTAGTTTCAGTGGTATCATTTGGTTGGGTGGGTTGTTTTGTGGTGCTGGAAATTGAACCCAGGTCTGTGAGTCTGCTAGCATGCACTAGGCCACTGAATCATACTCCCAGTCTATTGTACGTTTTGGTATATTGGTAAAATTTCTCTGTATTCTGAGTTTTCTGCGATTTTCCATTAAAGAGTCTGAATTAAATTGATAGATTCGTCTAATGATAAACCACTCTTGTATCTCTAGAATAAATCCTATTTGAACATGATATATTTTTGTTTTGTTTGAATATTGTGTTATATTTGATGTCTTTAGAATTTTCACAAAGACATTCATGAATAAACTTGACATTTTTAATTAAATTTATTTATTTTTGTGGTGCTGGGTCACTCAGGGCCTACACTTTGAGCCACTCCACCAGCCCCCCCCCCCCACCGCTTTTGTGTGTGTGTGTGTGTGTGTGTGTGTGTGTATGAAGGGTTTTTTTCAACATAGGGTCTCGTGGAACTATTTGCCCAGTTGGCTTCGAACTGCAGTACTCCTGAGTAGCTAGGATTACAGGCATGAGCCTCTGGTGTCTGGCTAAATTTATTTTTTAACCTATGCCTAAAGACATAAAAATTGTGAGGTACTGATAGTAGTAGTAGTACTCAGTTGTAGATGCTCACATAACATGCATTGCCCTGGGTTTCATCTTATACACTACAAAAAACTAAAAAATTAAAACACTATAACCTTCCATATTAGTAGGGCAATGTGATGTTTTGACACATTCATACATTGTATAACGTTTGAATCATTTTAAACCTTCCTGTCTTCTCAAACATTCATCATTTCTTGTTAGTATTTTTGGGTTTTTCTTTTTTTTTTTATGGTGGTACTTGAGTTTGAACTCGGGTTCAAGCTTGCTAGGCAGGCACTCTACCACTTGAGCCATTCCACCAGCCCTCATTATTTCTTTATGATAAAAACTTTTAACCATTTTAGATTCCACATATAAGTCAAATCACCTCATACTTCTCTTTCCATGCCTGTCTTATTTCACTCAACATAATGATGTCCATTTCCATCGATGTCACAAATGACAGAATTTCGTGGTGTGTCATTTTTGTTTGCAACTCCCTGATGATGAGTGCTGGTTGGAATTTTTTCATATACTTGTTGGTAATTTGAGTGTCGTCTTTTCAGAATTGTCTATTTGGATCTGTCACCCACTTTTTAATCAGGTAGTTTGTTTTAAGGTTTTTGCTGTTGAGTTTTTGATTTCCTTATGTATTAGCCTCTTGTCAGTGGTATAGTTCTGAACAATTTTCTTCCATTCTGTAGATTGTCTCTTTACTCCATTGACTCCTTCATAGCGCAGAAACTTTTTATTTTGATGAAATCCCATTTGTCTACTTTTCCCCTTTGTTTACTGTTCTGTTAGGATCTTGTCCACAACATCCTTGCTCATTTCAGTGTCTTGAAGTGTTTCCCCTCTTTTTCTCTAGTAGTTTCATGCCTTACAACAAAAAAAAAGTCTTTAATCATTTAGAGTTGGATTTTGTAACATGTGAGAAGTAAGAGTCTCCTTTCATTGTTCTGCATGAAGATAACCAATTTTCCTAGCATCTTTTATTGAAAATACATTCTTCGTAACTTTATCGAAAACCAGTTTTACTTGTGTTTGCTTCTAGGCTGTCCATTCTGTTCCATTGGTCTGGTGTATATCTCTTTTAATACCAATACCGTGCTGCTGTGATTACAGCTTTGTCGTATATTTTGAAGTCAAGTAGTGTAATACCACCTTCTTTGTTCTTTTTTCCTAACACTTCTGTGGCTATTATGGATATTTTGTGGTTCCACAAATCTTAGGATATTTTGTCTATTTCTTGCCAAGAATGTATTTCAATTGAGTTTGCACTGAATCTGTAGACCACTTTGTTTAGTATGGATGTCTTAATAATATTGATCATTCCAATCCATGAATTGGATGTCTTTATTTTTTTTGTCTTCTTTCATCAATGCTGTATAGTTTTTATTTTCAAGATCTTTTATTTCCTTTGTTAAATTTATTCTAGGTATTTTGTTTCATGTGCTATTGTAAATGAGAATGAGAATGAGAAATTGATTTCTATTTCAGTAATTTGCATATATAGCAAAGGTACTGATTTTTCATATGTTGATTTTGTATCCTGCTAAGTTCATTTACTAGTTCTCATACTTTTGTGTCATATATAAGATCATGTCATCTACAAACAATGACAGTTTGACAATTTCTCTTTTAAATTAGATGTCTTTTGTTTCTGTCTCTTACCTGATTTCTCTGGCTAGAATTTTTAGTACTATGTTGAATGAAACTAGACAGACCTCTTTTGTCTTCTTCCACGTCTTAGAAAGAAAGCTTTCAGCTTTTCTCCATTTCAATACAATGTTAGCTGAGTTCTGGAGGCTTGCCTCAAATTGTGGAGCACCTGACTTGCAAGTGTGAGACCCCTGAGTTCAAACCCCAGTTACATCCAAAAAAAGGAAAAAGAAGCAAGGTAATAAAATACATTGAAAAGTTTCTTGCCATTTTTTCTTTTCAAAAAGCAAACTCTTGAGGGCTTAGGGTATAGTACCGCCTTCCTGGCAAGCACAAGGCCCTGAGTTCAGATTCTAGTACTGGGGAGAAAAAAAGTCTGTAACAGAGATTAATTCTTCCTTAAAACTTTAAATTCCCTTTTTAAAACCACATCATGTTTTAGTTTCTTTTGTGGGAGTGCTCTCTGTTGTTTCTATGTCGTCTATGATATCTGAATTAAGTTGTATTCATTCTTTTCCTAATTTCGGGGTTTTATAATTGATTTAAATACATCAGTCAATTTAATCAGAGTATTTAAATTTTAAAAATCATGCTTTTTTTTACTTTATAAAAAAAATTTTGTGTTTTTCTTTTTGGTTTTTTTGGGGGGAGGTTATTTTGTTTTGTTTTGGTGGGGTTTGTACTTAGGATTCTCTGTTTACAACGCAGGAAATCTACCACTTGAGCTACTGATCTCTTGAACTGTTTTTCGAAGCTGGCCCCAAATTGCAATCCTCCCCCATCTCAGCCTCCCAAGTAACAGGATTATAGGCATCAGCTGCTGGCACCCAGCTAGTTCT